TTAATATATTATTTGTTTAGAAATTGATAAATCCAAACTCTAGATATTTGCATTTTAAAATTTGAAGCGGGTCCAAAATGGCGGCTGTCTTCGTAAACTCCGACGAGCAAGTCGGCACTCGGAGCTCTTCGGAGGGCTCGTTCATCGCACGCTAACCTCGGACGTCAATGGTGTTCTACCATGTTGCTGATACAGTCATGTGATCTTATTCGAAATTTCTCCAAAAAATGCTATACCTTTGAAGTCTGGGTTACTTTGAAGCACGCCCAACACTTTGTTTTGCTTTCAAAGACTACTTACATGATGTTGTGATCAAAACCAATATCCAATGAAGAATTAGACAAGTGATAAAAATGTTTGAAGAAATTTATGCAGAGTAAAATATGAAATGAGTTACAAGGCAGTTTCCGGCGGAGAAATGTAATCGATTTGATGCATATTTCTCCACCATTCACTTCCGAGGTTTGTATGGACCGTAGCGGAGTCAGTCGAGGATTGCCGATTGGCAGGTTGGAGTTTACGGAGACAGCCGAGCGTCTTGTTGAACGAAACTACCATAAGGATCAATGAAATATGAAGGAATATGAAGGAATTGTTGGATCTTTCAGATTATGACCTACAAATGCAATAAAATGAGTAATTTGTACCATACATGCAATAATATATATGAAAATAGAGACATTTCAGTAGTACATACATTTCAAAGAAAAGGCGCTAAGATTTACTCGTGACGTAATGTATCCTGACTCTTCTTTTATAATGGAAAATGGTCTGATGCAGAAGTGCAGAAAAAGATTACACGGACACGTTTGTATGAAATACAGGTATATGGAATGGCATGGAATAAAAAGTTGAATACACAAAGAAAAAAGGAAGTAAACAGTATCATCAGTTCATCAGAAATAGCTAGATTATTTGTTATTCTTTAAACTCAAGTAACGAATTCCGATGTGAATCTGTTTGTTTTGTTTTGTATGTTGTTTAACGGCCCTCTCGAGAATTTTTCACTCATATGGAGACGCCACTACTTGCCGGTGGAGAGCTGCAAATTTTGTCCAATACTCGGCACTTACGGCCATTGAGCAGTGAGGGGTCTTTTTCGTGCCAGCACCTACTGCGACACGGGACCTCGGTTTAAACGGTCTCATCCGAAGGACCGGTCTCCACGTCCCTCAGTGGGATTCGAACTCACGACGTAAGGATCAACTCCTTACTTTGCGACTCTAGAGCAGACGCTCCAACTACTGCGCCACGCGGGCGACCCGATGTGAATCTGCTTGCACAAAATTTGGCTAGCTAGCTCTCATTCTATAATTCCGCAATATATATATATATATATATATATATATATATATATATATATATATATATATATATATATATATATATATATATATATATATATATCTTTTAACCTCCCTGACGCTCGTTACTTCAGGCGATGATACAAAGTAAACATCGATGATGGCTAGTAAAATTGCTCTGGTGTAGTGGCTTCCATATTGAATTTTCACGAAGGCGATCTGGATTTAATCCCGAATTTGTTTGCTTAAATTTACGTTTGCAACTTTATAAATGATGTTGAGTGGGTTTTTTTGTTAGCTAAGGGATGATAGAACATGATTTCTAGATTGGCGAAGGGACCTTTTCATGCGTCGTCGTTAGTTGCGGTCGCTTTCGGAAGCGAATTTAAAAAATCGATCTTTTCAACTATAATATTTTTCTGTAATTTTTGTAAGGTTAATAGAGCCTCTTTTCAAAAATACGTAATATATAATTTGTTTTCGAATTGATAAATCCAAACTCTTGATATCCGTCATTTTTACTTTGAAGCGAGGGTTGAAATGGCGTAATGGTTAGCACGTTGGATTTTCAAGCTGACGACCAGGGTTAAATCTCCAGAGTGTCTGATTTTTTTTTTTTTTTTTTTTTTTCACTTTTTCAACTTGAATTTACATTTTTATTTTCAAAATCGGACGGGAGACCTCTCATTGCTCGCAATGAGTTTCTAGTTATATTTCTATTTTAAATTTGCCGTGTATATTGATGAAAATTGTTCTAACATGTAGTGAAAATTGTAGGACGCAGTGTTGATTATTTTTATGCCCCCGGATCAAAAGATCTCTAGGATATATTGTTTTTGTCATGTCTGTCTGTTTGTCTGTTTATCTGTTTGTCTGTTGTCAACTTTAAACTTGCCCATAACTTTTGGTTGGTTGGAGCTATGACTTTCACTTTTCACATGTGTATTCCTTGTGACAAGACCTTTCTTTGAGTACCATCATTTTTGACCTTGACATTGGAGTTTGACCCACTTTTGCAAAATCTTATGAGACTTTAACCTTAGCCATAACTTCTGAACAGTTGGTGCTTGTGGTTTCAAACTTCACATGTGTATTCTTTGTAATAAGGCCTTCCTTTGGATACCAACAACTTTGACCTTTTGACCTTGACCTTGGAGTTTGACCTACTTTTGAAAAACTTTAACCTTTGCCATAACTTTTGAACAGTTGGTGCTTAGGGTTTTAAACTTCACATGTGTATTCCTTGTGACAAGACCTTCCTCTGGATATCAACCTCTTTGACCATTTGACCTTGACCTAGGAGTTTGACCTACTTTTGAAAAACTTTAACCTTGGCCATAACTTTTGAACGGTTAGAGCTAGGGCTTTCATACTTCACATATGTAATCCTTGTGACAAAACCTTCCTTTGGATACCAACCACTTTGACCCTTTGACCTTGAAATAGGAGTTTGACCTACTTTCGAAAAACTTTAACCTTGGCCATAACTTTTGAATGGTTGGTGCTAGGGCTTTCATACTTTACATATGTAATCCTTGTGACAAGACCTTCCTTTGGACACCAACAACTTTGACCTTGACCTTGATTTTTTACTTACTTTTAAAAAACTTTAACCTTCGCCATAACTTTTGAACAGTTGCAGCTAGGGCTTTCAAATTTAACATTTTTTATCTTTTGGCCTGGATTTTGACTTGCATTTGAGAAACTTTAACCTTCGCCATAAGCTGCCATACGGGGGCATCAGTGTTTCACAAACACATCTTGTTTCACTCTTAACATATTCCCTTTCATTAAATTTCACTCACAGAAAACCAGCAATATTGTGCTTGCTCTCTTTTGTCTCTGAATTACATTCTTCGATTTCTTTAGGAGATGGGCACTTTGAATGATTAAGGAAAGAGGATTATCCACTAGCATCAGGGGTCAATACTAGAATAAGCTGTACAGTTTCGTTTGTAGATTGTGATTCATCAAGGTATCGCAGTGTTCTTCGTGTAAAGGTCGAAGTTCCTGATTCTTAGTCGATGACTGTGTCAGTTCCGAGATTTATTTTCCTCTGCACTAGACATCAGCTTCCAAGTTGCAGACAAAATGTGTTTTATAAGAAAATACTGTCATTTAACTATACAATCAAGATTTCCACTTTTTAATCATACAATTACATTGTTTATAACTATATGTACTGACAGTATTGTTCATCAATTATTTAGACGTAATTAAATGCATATCGAGATGATGTACCCTGCGTCTTTTTAGCATCATACTCGAAAGTCTCGCTACACACACGCTATCAGTGGAAGAAGACTTTCATATTAACACATCCTTCATTTCAAAATAATTTGTTTTCAGCTCTGAAATCCATTCTTAAGAGTAGTATGTGGATATTTTTTTTTTCAAATTTACATGTAATTTCAATGTATATTTTATTTAAAACGTTATGAAACTATAAATAAAGGAAGTGTCGTATAGAGTTCGGGAGTATTACTCTGTTGATAATGTGAACATGTTGATAATTACCTTGTCTCTGTCGAACCATGGTAACGTGTCAAACATCGATCCACGTGAAACTTTAATATAGGAGCTCGTTCAATTCTCACAGTCTCTTTCATTTTCTGGTATAGTATTAGGAAAAAGTTAAGGGTTTGATAAATTAGACTTTAAAGTGCACGACCATATCGGGCTTCTCGAGAGTTTTCCCAAGTGTGGTGTTACTCATTTTGTAATTAATCCGTGCAATGAAATCTATGAAATTTCAATAACAGACTTGTTAGACAAAGCTTGAAATCCAATTACGGATATTGTCTGATATGAAGTTTTCTGTATCGGGACTTAGTAGTAAACAAATCAGTTCCATCAATAGATCTGGCCTTGGAGTTTTTGTTGACCGACTTATCAATATACAAAAATTTACAGATTCTTTTACTACTTTGAGGTAATATGATCTTTTGTGTTACTTTGCTTTACCTCCCCGTTTGTTTGTTTGTTTGTTTGTTTTTTTAAAAAAGACGTCATTTGATCGATGTCCATAATACAACACCAAATTTTTTTTAAAAAGGCACCACCAGCTAGATACACTCTATATATACATATTTACTGATATGTTAACATTTTAAGGGCAATAAAACTTAAAGGATCTACTTTTTTATGAGGAATAAAAATGGAATTGTTTTTCATTTTGAAGTTCAATCTATTTTTTTCACTAAAGTTCACGTCTCTGTCACTGAAATCTGTTTATAAGACACGTACACCTGTCTTATTATCAGAGAGTCATACACGATTATCCGCAGAGAATACCCTGGAAATCAAACCTTTTATATGACTGATATACTTGTACAAATCAGGATATGTTAACAGTATGTAGGTTAATCGATCTTTCAACAGTGGTTACGCTCTCCCAGAATTCATATTGTCATGTGTCATTAACAAAAGTAAAGGCAGGCCACAAAATACAAATTGGGGACACAAAACGAGTGGAACAATTATAAGTCTATCATTATGAGCAATTCGCAGCATGAACAACTGACTTGTTGCTCGTTGAAATACTCTGGAATCCAAACAGAAACCAATATTGTTGGTTGTCAATCAATACAAGCGCAGCCTCAGAGTGGGGGGCTAGATGTCACTCCACGCCTAGCCGTCACCGACAGGCAATTGACTTTATCAAACCAAGATTTGTATTCGCTCTGTGCGTATTGATCAGTCGACTTAATACGGCATGCAAATTTACTGATTCTTTTTTCCCCTTGATCTTTGTTCCACCACTCGTTGCATTTGCTTTGATCACTGTAAAACATAGAATGGCAATGTAATGACCAATTTAAGCACTTAAGACACCATCATCTGTAATGGGATCCTTCACATTTTGCAGGAGGCTATGGAATTGGAAGCCAGATCGTGTGGAGCGTTTTGAAAACGACGAACAAGAACGTTGCACGTGTTGGTCAGCGGAGGTGACGTCACCTACTAATATGGCGTTGATCGAACAAGGTGACACAGCCGCACCCGAGAACTGTCAGAGACTAGTGATATTGGGCTCAAGTAAAGCGGGCAAGACATCCATTGTCTCCCGATTCTTGTACAATAAATTTGACGATAGTTATACCCCCACCATTGAAGACTTTCATAGGAAAATATACCGGATCAAAGGAGAAGCTTACCGCCTTGATATCTTAGACACTTCCGGTAATCATCCATTTCCGGCAATGAGGCGTCTGTCAATCATTACAGGTGAGAAAGTGAAAAATATTTTGTAGAACTTTGTAGTAGAAAATGCCACACTTGCTTTTATATTGAAATTATTTATGCTACAGTCATTTGGGGTATTCCAAATCAGGTGAGATTAGCGATTTTTTTTTTTCTATTTTTGTATTTTAATTTTATTGCTCTATTTCAATTTATGATGCTAGTCATTTTCAACAGGTGTCAAAAGTTGTTCTGTAAGATTCAATGTATCATCATTAATACACAATGAAATTTATTTTTTAAAATTTGCATGAGCCGCAGTATTTTTAATATTTCTGTACGTTAAGGTAGTACAAAACAAATAAACCAAATTTTTCCTCAAATTCAAAATGTTTGAAAGTTTTTTTATTTTGTTGCATTTATATATAAAATCTCTCTTCATGTGTAGTATGAAAGAAATCGAAACACACATTTTTTGCCCACATAGATTGAAATATAGCCTATCGGATACCTGTAAAAAGAGGGTTAAATAAGACATTCAACATAAGAATGTGCAACGTATAGAAAAATTACTATTTTATATATTACAAATATGTGTGATACTGCTTATAAATCAGTAAAATATATCTATACCAGTATATTTGAGTGCACAGTGATGTAAAAATAGAACATCTCGGAATTTGCAAGTTCACATATAGATATGATACACTTTAAAGCTTTATATATTTATGATAAGTTCAGACTAAAATTTAAAAGTTTAAATAAAGATAGGACTTTTTTGTAAATTACACAATATAAATCAATCGCGTTTCAAAGATATTAAAAAATTTAAACTATAACCAATTTATTTACCGACTAGACAAAAATTATAAAAGATTTGAATAACTCCGCCTTAATTTGATCTCGTGACACTATATTTAGACAATCAACAATAATGGCGAACATTGAGAAGAATATGGAGAGAAGTAAAGAGAAAATTATATTATATTAATAATATGTATGTACATGTATATTCATACCTCTTCTTCAATTATGGCTTTAGTACTGTATTTATTTTAGCTCAGATACGCCATATAAAGCTTTAAGACCTCTCTTATAAAGACCACCTTTTTTTTTTTACAGAAATAGGGTAAATACATGTCGTAGCTTATATTTTTCCTTCCAAAGATAATTGGTTATTGACATTAGAGTGATTTTATTCTTTTCTCTGGCGTATTGTAGAAGAAATGAGTTAAAATTGATTTTACAGGTGTTTTGTACTACCTTAATACAGATTTTTCAGTAGATGCTGCTAGGATATGAACAGTACATGATACTGCGAATTATATATACGTATCTAGGAATTGTGCTTACTGTCGGATACATCGTAAAAAAATTAAATAGCGTATAAGAAAAGTAGAAGTTATGGGGGTGGGGTTGGGGATTTCCTTTGTACCTAGACAGAGCATGAGTAATAAATAAAAACATTTTCATGGACACAATTTTGGTCTTTTGCTGAATGTGCACATTTACGACTTGATTTGAAAACCCGAATCTTGCCCGCAATACCTAAAGTATAGTGTTTGAAGAATCTCTATCAAAGTCCTAATTAGTAAGTAAATTCTTTTCATGCCATAAAACCTGTTTATTTTCCTAACGAACCTTCCAATAATGCCAAATAACCAATTATAAACTTGTTTATTATAGCGTTTGCAATGAAGATATAAGAGTACCATTAACCATTGTGTTAATGATGCTGCGAGAAGCCGTGCAAGTTGTAATTTGTAGGCCAGTAACATACACTGTGGTTAACATAGATTAATTGCCGTGTACAATTTTATAACGAGATATACAAGTATAATACGTGTATTATATTTTTACATCTTGAGAGGGATTTATAAGTAATGAGTATTAAGTTAAAGAAAATGTGGGGGCGGAGGGATACGAGATCCTGATTTTGAGATTCGAAATTCCTGTTCACTTTCCCAGTGCAAATCTAGTCCAACCTTAACCAACTAACAGATGTAAACCTTTCCAGTTTCCATAAAAATTCATTTTGGTTTAAGATATTGCATAAATCTGGAATTACATTTCCAGATTTGCATGTTTTATTGTAGGGGTCCTATTATTATAGGATATAATACAAATAACTGGGTATTATAAAAAAATTTTATTGCAGGGGACCTGTTTCTTTTGGTATATAGTATAGATAACCGTGAATCCTTTGAAGAAGTAGAGCGCTTGTGTCAACAGATACAAGAATGTAAGACACAGTGTAGAAACAGAGAAGGCGAACGGCGCCAGAGAAGAGCCATTCCAGTGGTCATCGTAGGCAACAAGTGTGATAAGGAAAAAATGCGCGTGATAGACCCAGCCGAGCCACTGCATCTTACCGAAGTGTATGAAAACTGCATGTTTATAGAAACGTCCGCAAAGAAAAACATCAACATCGAAGAGTCCTTTACAAGACTTTTTGACATGGGAAATCTTCCATTAGAAATGAGTCCTTCTCTGCATCGGAAGGTTCATCCTTTCTACGTAAGCGGAAGTACTTCACAAACCGGAAGAAAGGGAATGTCCATTAGGAGAAAAATGTCTGACGCTTGCGGAACGATTGCCCCGAATGTCAGACGACCAAGTATACGCACTGATTTGATGGTGGCACAGATGAGAACGAAATCATCTAATCTAACCAAAGCTGATGTGAAAGAAAAATGTGCTATACAGTGATTGTTTATAAACTTTAATTTAGATTTACGACGACGATTACATGAAATTGGTAGAAGATTGTCCAGTTTCTGTTTGTTTTTCCTTTCTGAATTTCTTTTAATCTTAAAGACAGTAACAAATGTAAACCAAACTTGACAGAAATCATTACCTGATAAAGTTTTTTTTTTTTAATGAACAACAACACCATTTTCTATAGGTGCTACAGATGCTTTTTTCTAGACTTGTAAAGAATTTCTTGGCTGAAACCATCAAAACATTTGCTCAAGTTTTTGAATGTTTTTTTTTTTTAAATTAGCTTCAGATTTGTTCAAGCTATTGTTCTAGTACGATACTCATGGGATCAAGGTAGAGGATCAAATGTTTTCATAGAATTTAGTGAAAAAAAAAGTATTTAAAATTTCAAAAACAAGACTGCTGCAATCTGTAAAATTGATACGCAATTCATATGTTTTATACTTTTTCGTTTATGGTCAATGTGAGATGAAAAAAATGAGATATAAAATTCTAATTTTCAAAGATTATAGGCAAAAAGGATATCTTTTTATAAGGGCAGATGGAGGGGACATAATGATTAAATAAATAATCTAGCATATGAGAGACTTGTTAAATTTACAGTGTGATTATGATTATGATATAGCATATGAGAGACCTGATGTTTACTATATGATGATTTTGAGTGTAAAAATGTGTTTCTACATGTCTGAAAGGAATATTTATATTAGTTGACTGCTTATAAAACCAACAGAGAATGAGCAATTTAAAAGTGGTGTATTTAGTCATATCATTAAAGTGTTTTAGAAATTCAAATCGCTGGTAAGAACACAGTGTTTTCATGTTATATTAGAGTTTGTTTCATAATTTTAATAATCATTCAAGAAACGGTCCAATTCAATGCATGGGAATCCAATTGTCAAAAGCACTTGTTGGTAGGTTAAAACTTGATGGAAGACATTGTATGCTTTTTGCATTGCTTCTTAGAACAAAATAATGTCTTTTGATCATATCACAATAGTTTTAAATGGGACCTGTTGGGGATGTCTGGGAATAAAAATAGTTCAAACCGAATGCAAATAATTGGTAATTGCACACCCAGTTTCATTAATACAAAGAAATCGAAGACATCGGTTAAAAGACAACAGTCAGGATTTGTTGAATAATGCAAAAATATTAGAATTAACAACAAACCTCACAGAGGAGGTAATGTTCGTTAGATAGGGACCAAATTACCCTCAATCAATCAGAGCTCAGGGACATTTAATTGAAAGAATAGCTGTTTGCTGAAGAAGAAAAGTTAAACAAAGCAAATTAATTTATCTTTTTTGTCACAAGACAAGCAATAAGCCTCCTCGTTCGTGAAATGTCTCTTCTCATGCGGCATCTGACGTCGATAATTCTCACTCGAACACGAAGATTTGTATTTTAAGTATGTCAAACGAAAACACAGCCACAAAAAGGAGCGTAATATTATATACAGGTGTGATATACACCTCGTTCTCAATTTACATAACAATACATTGCTTCTTAATAATTCCTACATATATCTAACTGTATGATAGTTGTCGATGTGTAAGCACTGAATATGGATGAGATTCTTTAGTATTTCTCCTTCTTTGTGTTCTTGACTCACTAAGGATAATCAAGAAAAAAGCTAAATAATAAAATTCAAATTATTTCAAGACCATAATATAATGCATATGTGCATTGTAGCAACATCTTATTGACAATTATATAGGGTTTAGGCGCACAACTCGTTGATGAAAATCCTATTCCCATAGTCATGAAATGGGGAGATCCTTTTTTTCTACTTCATCAAAACTATCATGACGAAATTCGGATTTTAATCATTGAAATTTAACCCAGTTTACTGTAAAACTTCTTTTCGGGCACTCAAACTTATCTGTCAGAAAAAATTAAAATAAGTAATTTAGCCTGCTTCATGGGACTATAATACCCCAAGACCTTAACAGTAAAAATTATTTTTTAAAAAAATCTTGATAAAATCAGCATTTCAAATTTATGTCAAAATTCAGACCAATTGATTTCAAATATCCTTTTCTGGACAATGAAAATTAACTGTCAGATATGCCGAAAATTTACCCTCGACCTGTTTGGGGCCTCAAATCGGCCCCGACCCCCCTGCTTCCACATTAAACACACCCTAGCTACGCCCATGACAAACAATTTTCAATCCCTCACACTACGTTTATCCTATGCTGAAAATATTTTTCATAAACATGTGGTGATATGTATAAAAAAAACTTATTTAAAACACATTCACAGAACATGACAAAACACATACCATTAAAAATCAAAATAAACCGAGCTCATCTTTCCTAATTTGTGATTGAAGTTTGATTATATGAACGAACTATCCATATAGATAATAGAAACGAAGGAAATAACAGGGGGTCATTTTAACATGGATTCTAGAACTATGAATTTAGGCTTCAGAAATGACGAATTTGTTTAAATAAAATATCAAAATAACAACAGGAATCAAGCTCAAATGTCCATTGAAACAATACAAATTAGCAGCAGAGTTTGCGAAATGTTGACTTTAAACGAGACTGTTGATATTCTTGTTTCATCAACTTATTTGTCAATAGCTTGCCTTTTTTTTTTTTTTAAGAAATTGTTCATACGTAGAGCATGCTCTTGCATTTCGAACCAACTGGGAGACATGAACTCCGTATGCAGAATGATAATTGTATATTGCTAATGCTATTTAAATATGGGAAGTTGACGATAGAAAAGTTGAAGTCATCACGTTTATCATAAAGTTTTGTTGTTAAGTTACCATTAACGTCTTTTTCAACTAAAATATCCAAATATAAAACAGATTTGTCAGACTCTATGGTATCTTTTCTTTCGAGTTCAAAGGGGTATATCGAATCAACGTAGGAATGAAAATGAATATTGAGTTAATTGACAATGATATATCTAAGTGTTAAATTACGGCAACAGCAAAAGACTTCTTCTTTTCATGTAGAAGTTTTTGAATAAATTCTGCTTCATAAGAATACAAAAATAAGTCTGCTAATAACGGGGTGCAGTTGGTACCCATGGAAATTCCGATTTCGGACAGATTGTTGTAGAAAAACTTCCAGGTGAAGTGGAGATTCAAGTTAATAATCAACATGAAGGTTTGGGCACAAAAACACAAACAATTCATTTTAGGCAACATCAAAAAATTATGTCTGTTCCAATTTTGAACATCGGACAGAGACGAGGCCACGATAAGGATGCAGAGATCTTTTTACTGTAACAACAATTCTACTCATTATATTCAAATGTCCTTATCAAGAGAAGATTCAAATTTCTTCAAACAATGTTCCAGCCATGATGTAAATTTTTAATTTTTAATGCAAGGCCATTGTAAAAATTGTCAAATTAAAATGCAAAAATTCCTTTGAACAAGCAATGCAAATTTCATTTTGTTCTACCCATGGAAGAATAGGGCTCTGGTATGAATCATGGTTTAATATATTAAATTTTTTTTTTCATTATAAAATTGTCATTTCAAGAAATGTGCTTTAATCTGACAAATGAATATGCAAGCAGCATACCGAGTCGATTCAAAAGTTAGTTTGCGTCTTCTTTGATAATAAATATCTAAGTGGCAAAAACAGAAAATAAAAAAACGGAAAACGTTGCATAACAAATACCAGTACTTTTTACAAGATTGATTGTGAGAAACGAAACATATATGATCAAACTGTAAACCAGGCCGTTCGGGACCTGTTTTAAGGACATACGCAACGTACCTTACCTACTGATAATTTCTCAAGATATTCTTAATTTAAGATTATAGTGCTATCAGATGTTCATAGACAAAAAATCAGTATTCATTACCAGGGGTTTTAAAAAGATATCAGTTGATGAAAATTCTTGTATAATTCAAAGAAAAATATACGAAAATTACTAAACGTATATTCTAGATGTTTTGTTTATCCAAACGTGTTTAAGAAGAAGTGTACAATAGAACATATAAACATTAAAATGTAGCACAAAGTTCCTTTAAGTATTGGAACTCTTCAACTCCAGGGAAAAATACAACAAAGTTCAAACTACGTTGCGTATGTCCTTAATAGATATCACATTTACAGTACAACAATCTCATCGCCTCCACCTCCAGTAAAATGGATATCTATGACATAGTTCCTTTAAAATATGTTTCACAAATAACTGAGGCATAAAACATTAGTGCTGTGCGATATAAGCGGTTAACCGGTGTATCCCGATTTTGTTCTTCACAAAACATTTTTTTGTGAATATTGATTTGGCTTTGATATGCTATAAAATGTTACAAAAAGAGTTACTTGCCCTTTTTCAAGTAAAATATGGTGGCAAACGACGCAAAATGTGCTCAGAAACGAAAAAAACAACAGCTGTTAAATGAAACTCCTTCAAGCTAAAGCTGAATCTGACTATTGCAGGATGATCCTAAAAGTTCTTGTGCCACAACAAACTCACCTAGCCACTTGCGCCGACACAATGTGATCAGGCAATGTCAACTCGAGAACAAATGATATTTGCGTTTGTGTTTTCATTTATCATGGGGGAAAAGCAAAAATGATTATGAATTTTATATTGTTATATATTGCAATACAAAATTTAATATTGCAATATATCGCGATACGATTTTTCAGTCGCGATACCCAGCACTATAAAACATTCCCCATTTTCGCTAAACCTGTCTTGTTTTATCATATAGTCCGGATTTGAATAAATAAGACAATGAAGGCTGCATGATGATACCACTTTCATTTACGAACTTCTGTCGTGGAAAAATAAAAAAAAAATGTCCAGATTACAAGTTATAGCTTCCGTGTTTTCCTTTTGCTGTTTGTAAGACCTCGAAATGTTTAGAAAATAATCCTGCGATAGGCTTGGCTAATGTTTTTCCGGCTCAGATACACAGCTGGCTCCGGCCGTTGCAACCATTGTTTACCACGTTGTTCGAGGTGTTGATTGTGACGTCACAATGCCGCTGCACGCGCACCGACCCTCCGGTGAATATGGCTTCAAAACCAGTGAATATTATACAATTATGGACTCTTTCGGTGGTGAATATGGTTTGTTATTCACCAGAAAAATATCAATATTGACCGAGGCGAAGCCGAGGTCAATATTGATATTTTTCTGGTGAATAACAAACCATATTCACCACCGAAAGAGTCCATAACTGTTTTATTATATAGTCAGGATTTGAATGAATAAGACATTGAAGGCT